CGTAAACAGAATATTATGAAAAATTTCGGAATCATTTATGGTTTCGGGAATTCCGATTTCTTGTTCCCGAATTCCGAATATTACTATCTGTCGGGAATTTGGGAACACTGCGTGTGCATATTATTTCGTCTATATAAAATATTGCCACAATTTTAGTGACTACAGACGGGGTTTGGATTGGTAATTGGATTTACTGAATTCTTGAAACTCGTAAATGCAAGTAAGGACTGTATTCTCACCGTTCTGAACACTTCACAAATCACTACAGGACACACTAGCTTCTCAGTCCGTTACAGTCTTCACTAGCCGTTGCTTGGTAGCGGATTTCAAGGGCGGACTTTCCGCTTCCTCTGGGTTCCCGAACTAACCTCGTCCTCAGTTACCAGCCTCTAACAGCAATAGCTCAGAAATTAACTAATCACCCACTCAGCAACCAAGTCACTCGCTATCTGACTTGTCCTGCTTATAAAATCGCAGCACGGACCGCGTAGAAAACACCATTCCTATGTTGCAGTGCAATCGCTGCGATGGAAATGTGCTTATTTGCGGGGCCGCTACTTAGCAACGTCTCCGATATAGTTGCTTCTTTCGCGATCGTTGCCTAGCAGGAGATTAACATGTCACAATATGTAGAACGTAATCTAAACATTTCGCTGTACTTATTATCCACATTTAATGGATAGATTGTATAATTATTGGAGTTAAATAAAAAAAAACATTTCGCAGCGTCGCCATGTCTCAAAATGTGCTTTTGTGAGCTATCTGACGGACTGGCAACGCTGTACATGATGAACTGGAAAGGAATTGGAAGGAAGCGAACGTGGCATAATAGGAGGACTACATCGGCATTTGCGTGGAAGGACTGAGGAAAACCACAGCAACTTCAGTCAGAATAGAAAGTATCGCGGCCGAAATGCGAAACGAGCATTCATAGAATAAAACTTTACGAGCGTTACCGCTACACCAACCTGCCCTAACTCACTCCATGGAGCTGAGCCCTTCTTGGGAAGCCTCCACACAGTTTATAGAAATATTCAGTCTTCACACAACATTCTGTACTCCTAGCTAGGACCGTCCATTAGATACCGCTCTCGAAATGAAACCCAAATTCAAATGTCGTACTGTGTCATTATGTTCTTCTTGCGTGTTTACCGAGGCGCTCTTAGGATGGGGCCATACGAGCGCACGAAGTACGTCCGTTGCGACGAACGTATTCTATGACGGACGTTGCTGAGGTCACAACACAGTTGTAGAATGCGGTGCGTAGTTTTTTGTCTGCAACAGAGCCAGACCAAAGCGTAGCATTCGCCTCTCTTATTTATTTCTACAAAGGACGTCACGACGTCCGTTACAACGGACGCATTTTGTGCGCTCGTGTGGCCCCATGCATCATTTCAGAACGCTGGACTGAGTAGCGCCAAGTGTCGATCCCACCTTACTACTTCGCGCGTCCACCATGTTTTTAATACCAATTATAAGAAATATGTCGTTGGGTTCACCTCCCTGAAATCAGCCAACTCATTCAGATTTTGGCATGGCGCGCGCAAGCACGCACACACGCACACACGGTGGTGCTCTGACAGGCCTATTCAGTTCCTTCAGCAAGGAGAATAAGCAAGACGTAGCGGCGGGCAGAGGGAACGCAAATGTGGACGAGCTGCAAGCAGTCCAATGCAGGTGTTTACATATTGCTCTCGGTCGTTGACTGGCAAGCGAGATGATAGCCCAATATGCGTGTCAACTCAGTCTTGTAAGGATGCTTCTCAAATTGGCGCTAATTGCAGCCACACGCTACAGCAGGAAGTGCCACCACACGGTCTCAACACGAATACATTAGCCAAGGGGTCAGTAACCTGCGCCTCGCGGGCCACATGCGGCGCTAGCGTGAGTGCTCGGTATTTCTGTATTACTGCCCTTCCGATGAACATTTAGGGATTTAGGACTGCACGTATAAGTGTCCCTTACTCGTGTCTGATTTTAGTAAAAATTTCTTAGTAACACTCCGCAGGCTCAAGTTTAAAGAAAATCCGTCCAGCTGTTCTCGCGTTTCCACTTGCGGACCAACATGACGAAGTCAGATACCGCGTTCCTTCGATTTTCCGTTGCGAAGAACTGTGGGTAGGCTGGACCTACGGTGGGAAAGCAAATCGCGTTAAACACATGGAATGTTCATTGCATGACATTGCCTGGCCAGCCTGTGATGTGCCCTCACAGTGTACAGCAAACCCTCGGTAAACCGGATTAATCGTGGGGTAAGTCATCAAGATTACACGATAATAATAATTATAATAAAATAAATAAGCGTTCCTTAGAAGCCATTACGATATCTACGTATATAATGTAGAGGCCTTCGTATTCTAAAGGCGCGTCCACATTACTCGTGCTCGTGTGACTCGCTATACTCGCGAGTAATTTGGACGATATAACAAGTCACGAGACAAGCAAATTTTAAATTTAAAAACTATAGCCAATAAATTAAAATACGACTACAGCCTATATACACTACGAGTAAATATACGGATCCTCACGCGCCGAGGCCTGGCGAGCAACTTAAGTAGTGTGGACGAAGATTTACGAGCACAAGTAAAAGCCAGACGAGTCTCCCGACGAGCACGAGTAATGTGGACACGCCTTTAATAGTTCTGCTTGAGCTTATTTGGAACCGCCCTCTTCAGTAGATCAGACATCGCCGTGCTGACCGGCGACACAGCCGCGGCGCGAAGCGAGCCACGACAGTGACGGTGGAAAAGGGGCGGAGGCACAACTGCTCTCAACGTCTCCTCTCTGAGGCTGATCCCTGTTCATTCATCAGTCCGCACTGTACAGAAGCTGATACAGCTTCTTCTCTAATATCAAGGTCTAGGTGTTCCGAGTATCACTGCTGATATGACCATCTTCTTTCAGGTCTAGCATCAGCTCTTCTTTCCTAATGTCCGGCTGACGCATCGCCCTCCTATGCACCTGTTACGCTCCACCCATTTTACGTGGCTCTCTGCTCGTATCTGCCAGGATATCTCCGAAATACTGGTAACTATCAGACTATGCAGCGGGTTCTATAGCCGAGGAATAGGGGCTCGATTCCCAGCAAGTGTGAGCTGTTTGTTTCTTATGTACAGCGTCCAGACCGGCTCTGGGGCTCACTGGGCCGTCTGTCCGAGGGGAACCGGGGGTTATTTCTGCGGAGTTAAGCGGCCGGCACGTGAAGCTGACCCCTCAGTTCCATTCGGTTTCGAGGGTAAGGAAGCGTGAAAAATATGTCGACATTCCCCCTCCCCCCATTCGCCTTTATGGCGTGGTGCTTAATTAAGCAGGGGGGGGGGGCAGCTCTTCCCTCATTTACACGACGCCACGCCCCACGCTTATCTACTATTGGGGCCGGACGTTTCAGAAGTCACGAGCAGATCCAATGTGCACGAAACGCATGCAAAACTGGTTTATGGGGACATAAGCCAGGTGCACTACTGCATTCGCTTTGCAGAACCAACGGGACGCTGATTTGAGGCAAGAAAGCAGTTGGTGTAGGCTACGTGCTGGACGGCAGCGGTATTAAAGTTCGATTCCCGACTGGGGCAGAGATGGGTATGGACAAATACTGGAGCCCACCCAGCCAAAGTGTTCTGGAGGTAAAGCGGCCGGGACGTCAAGCTGACCACTCCTATCTTGTATTTGGATCTACATCTGCGTGGCACAGAAATAGCTTTCTCTCTCTTCTATATATCACTGACTAATTTCCCGTTTTGCCCTGAAGATGTAAGCAGTAGGCTCTTCCGAAATGCTGATAAGTATTTGGCAGACTTCACTGCGTCTCGACGAAGAGGAGAGCAATCTTCTGAGAAGCTCAGCACTGAAATGATGCAGTGTCGTTTAACAGCGTATGACGACACAGTTCATCAAGCGGTTTGCAGAACTAGAAGTGCAAGGTCTCAGAAGCCCGTCGCTTTCGCCTGCATTCAGAAACCAGGAAGGCTGCCGAACCACGTGTCATTGAACCCTCGAAGCTTGTTTCCCCGCACGATTAACACATGCAAGTCCTGCTCGTCTCTGAGCGTCTGATCGCTACAGCGGCGTATCGCCCGACGCGCCCGGCACCACATCGCCACTTGTCGTTAGCGAGGGGCTGAGGAATACTACGAAAGCTTCGGTGAAGTTGGCCGGTAACCCGATCACAGGAGGGCATGTAGCCAAGACACGGTGAAGCTCCAGGTGCGCTGTGACGCATTACTTTGGGTTGGAAACTCTCACCGCTGTGTCTACGAGTAAGAACAGTACCGTCCTCTGGGATCAAACGTCGCGTAGTCCCGTTGAACGTCACAGATGTTTCGAAAGAACGTACTGCCTCCATTTTCAAGGTCAGAGACTGAAGCAAGCGGGAAACTAATAAGAAGCAAGGCGGAACCCCCTTTCTGGTTTTCTATTAGACCCTGAAGATGGAGGCAGTGCTTCCATCCGAAACATCAGTGAATTACTATCGGACTACATGGCGACACAGCTAATACGATTCCACTCCTCAGAAAATTCCAGAGGGATCTCTAATCCGGGGTGGTACAGTAGGCCTGATTGTGGCCGGCGTACCAAGTGGACTCAGCCTCACCCCACCCATCCAGGCTCTTGAGAAGCTAGTATTTACTCAGCTACTTCCCAGCGTATTATGGTACCGTGTTCACAACAGCCCGCCACTGGTCCGAATCCTGAGCCACATGAATCCACTCCAATTTCCCCTCCTATATCTTTAAGATCCATTTTAAAGTTATCCTCCCATCTGCGCCTAGGTCTTCCAAGTTATCATGCTTTCAGACCAAACCAATACGCCACTGTCAGCAACCGAGTTCAACCCATGGGTCCGAAATTCGTTGTTAACATTCAAATGACGGAACTGAGGTTCTCTGACAGCGGTGACTACAAATGTCACTGTCTTCTGGGACATGCCGCATTGTCGGTCAAGGTTTGTCAGTCTCAACAGAGCACCAGATGGGCAACCAACTAAACAGTAGTAGACGCACCTTGCTTGATGGAAAGGCTGGAGGCGGCACCAGTAGTTGCTCCAGGCAGGGGTTGCAGCAGTATCGCGCTGGGGGCGGTGATCACCTGCGGCAAAGTAGCGGGGTGTAGTTGCGGGGGCGGCGAGGGTGCAGAGGTGGAACCCACTGATCCAGGGTCACTGAATCCCTGGGTGTTGCTGTCTTCAGGTGGATCGAAGAAACTCAAATTGAACTCTGAGCCCGCGTCGAAGGAGACGTCCGCCGTCAGCTTTTCCGGGGGAGGTGCATTGCCCACATTCGCGCTGAGCGACTGGTCGATTTTAAAAACGTCCATAGTCTCTGGCTACTGTCCAGAAGACAACTGAAACAATCCTTCGACACAAGCTCCGTCCGCGGTGGATACTACCCTATACGCATCATACATCATCTACCCCATTTCCCACTTTCAAGCTAATCACTAGTTAAAGATTCCCGGCACCATTTTACTTTCATTATCCAGCGGTAAGCGTCGTGTCTTGTCACCCGACACTTCTTCACCAGGCCAACACAGGAGCGTCTTCTTGCCGGACGGTGACGGGTCATCAAGTTCTCTCGCTGGTGGCTGTGGAGATCTTTATGAGCCATTCACTGCCACTTGCGTACCACGTGTGTTTCGGTGCACAGCTGTCACCACTCACACCCCAATAAACGAAACGCGCCCCTTTTACACATTTTTTTTAATCTGTACACCAGTTTTCTATAAAATTCTCTCAGGTGGGTGAACTGCACTATCACCGGTGATGTCCCGCACTCACAACATGCCCTAAACGGATTCCTACTTTCTTTCTGGTCTCGAGGAAAACGTATTTGTGTCCATATCATTCGCGACTGTTGCCTTACGTTACCTAGCAACGTACTCTCCACACTCAAGGCTGGCACTAGCAGTATCAATGGAGAAAATAATCAAAAAGCCAAGCCAGTATACACAAGCCCGTGGTTCTTTTCGCACACAGAGTAGGCGCAGATTGGAATTAGCCGAAGAGGTTTTTTCGTGTCATTGACCTTGGATCGCTCGTACCTTGCAGCAGGCCAGCTTCTCTGCTCCGCGCGGCGCTTTGAATAAACAGATTCTCTTTCCGCAGTAACAGAACTGAACTCGCAATGCTGGGGGTTCGATTCCACGATATATCGATGTCCACAGGTTGCACTGTGATGTTACCGCCTTCAGTATAAACATTCTCCTGAGGCTGGTCTCGGAAACAAGAACTGCACTTCACACTGTCACTTGCAGATTCATCCGTGGCACCTGTTTACATTCCTGTGCATTTTTTACGAAAAGAAACAAACGGGAGTCTACTAATGTCCCGTTCCCTTACACTCGCAGTTCGCCGGAAGATGAGCACTTCTGTTCCCGTAGACACGCACACGAACATAGAAAGACTGAGAAATGCGAAATACTGAGGGTTAGTGGAGAGGCAAGATCTAGATTGTAATTTCTTGGTGTGGTTACCGCATGTAGCACGCAGCCGGAGCTCTGCACAGCGCCAGGTAGAGTTAAGCTGTCCGCCTCGCAGCAACAGGCCGGGATCACTGACCGCGCTACGCTGGTGGGGGGAGCAGAGAGGAGAGGCTAGGAAGGGCACTCAGACATGGCACATCCAAAATCTTGCTACACTCGGAAGATGCTGAAATCAGGGACCAGCTGTTTCGCTTCTCCTTCCACCTTCTTACTGAAAGGTGCTAGACCGGCGGCAGAAACACGAAGGCAGACATGTTTTCACCCCACCCCCAGCATCTTCTGCTTACCCTGAAGTTGCAGACATCGAAATATTATTTAGACGTTGCGTTTGTGTTCAAGGCAGAAAATACCAGGGTCCGTCCCACGATGTAGTGACCCGTCTTATCAGATCTCAGTTCTGTCCGCCTCGAAATAGCACTGACCGACAGTGACGTCAGCGGTGCCCACTTGCCCGGCAATCACATGTCTGACTTCATTCGCACGTTTCGGTACTTCGACTTCGGACAAAAATGTGACGGACGCGCTGCACATTTCGGGCGTGCCAAAGCTCAGGCGAGTATTCGTCAGCTTCCCACCAAGGCGACCTGGGTTCAATGTCACGTCAGACCATGCGGGATTTTGGCGGACGAAGTGATAATGGGGCAGGTATTCCACGAGCGCTTCCGTTTCCCCTGACAATTCTCGTTCCACCGTCTGCTCCTTACTTGTCAATCATCCGGGGCTACTGCAATGGGCCCAAGCGGTCTCAGTCTCATCACATCCACGTGATGTGACCAAAACCTGTGGTCTATATGCTACGCGCAGGCGCTAAGTTAGGGTCACAAGGGAAACCTCAGTTAGTACAGGGACCAGGCTACAGACTGGACGACCAAAGAATAGGAGCTCGATTCCCGGAAAGAAGCCTCTTTTAGATCCTGAGGCTGGACCCAGCAGGTTCCTCCGAAACGTTTATCATTTCCCACGTCACAGCGTCGTCATATTGAGTGACGCACATATCTGCACGATGGGTCTGACGCGTCCGGCACAGCAGGCCAGCCGGGTCATTGAAGCAGAGGGTGATTTTGGTTAACACGGACCGCGGCGTGTGGACTGTGCTGAGCCCTTGGAAGCGAAGATCACCTGTCTATATGATCTGCCTTGAAAACCCAAGGGAGGATGTGGGCTGAATTTGCCTGCATCAAAATAGGAACGAACTGGGGGTGATAAGAACCGTGAGAGCCCACCGGTAAGTGGTGCCATCTATCGCTGTCGCCGCAGCGCCGCCTGGAGAGCTCAATGAAGCAGTGGTTCGATTCTCGGATCGTGTGAGAGCTGACTCATTTCATGCACGCAACTAGCGGGAGGGAACCGCGACAGCTCAGTCATTACAGTGACTAGGGTGTGGGCTGGACGACCGAGGAAACGGGTTTCAATTTTCATCAGGGACAAGGAACATTCATCTTTTCCATAGCGTCCAGATCGGCCCCGGGACCCACAAAACCTCCTATTCGATTGGTACTCGAGGCTCTTTCAGTAGCGGCTGGGATATGAAGTCGAGGTTAGGAATGCGTGGAGCTACATCTCCACTCTCCCATGCGGCTTCATGGCGTGGTTCTTATTTAAGCGCAGGGAAAAGTTTTACTCCTTATGCAAATTGGTAAACATTTGAATCGCAAATCCCAACTCTCCTGCCTCCCCTTGCTTCTCCCTCTCACTTTTCGCTCGGAATGCGGCCCTAATAAGGACCAATATCCTCTACACTGCTCCCCCCTGCTTCTCCCCGTCACTTTTCGCTCGGAATGCGGCCCTAATAAGGACCAATATCCTCTACACTGCTCCCCCCTGCTTCTCCCCGTCACTTTTCGCTCGGAATGCGGCCCTAATAAGGACCAATATCCTTTACACTGCCTCCCTCTGCTTCTCCCTGTCACTTTTCGCTCGGAATGCGGCCCTAATAAGGACCAATATCCTTTACACTGCCTCCCCCTGGTTCTCCCTGTCACTTTTCGGTCGGAATGCGGTCCTAATAAGGACCAATATCCTTTACACTGCCTCCCCCTGGTTCTCCCTGTCACTTTTCGGTCGGAATGCGGTCCTAATAAGGACCAATATCCTTTACACTGTTCTCCTTACTCCTATTCGATCCCTCAGCGACCCGTTCCTCTGCTCTCTAAGCGGTTATGCGTAACACGTGGTCTGTCCTGCACATGGAGGCGGCAAGCTCCTCCTAAACGTCGATAACGACGGCACGGAATCACAGCCCAGACGCCGCTCACCGACGCAAGAACCTCAAATCTCACAAATTCTGCTATGTATCTCAGGGCAAACGAATTCTCGACGTTGTATGTTGACATATGCCTGCACCCTTACAGCAGCTACGTTCGAAACAATTTTGTAAATGCGAGATTTATCACAGTCAGTGCGCAATTTCAGGTTACCACAGCAACGAGTTGTCGGGCGTTAAGACGTTGCATGGACGTAAGTTATGTAGTACGTCATGAGAAGTACTTTGCTTCAGTGTATCGTGTCTATTCCGTGAGTACTGATAATACTGTGATGCAGTGGCGGCTCGTAGCTAAAATTAGTGGGGGTGCTGCTCCAGAAGTGCACAATTCCATACAAAGATTTGGCTACTGACATTAAGCTTAAGGATTATATATTGTATTGTACAAGTATAAAGAAAAAATTAAAGAAAAAATGACTCATTATATAAATGTTATCGATAATATCATGTGGAAATTGGGGGTGTGCAGTTCCGCAGTGCTTACACGCGGGCCACCCCTGCTGTGATGTGAATATATGAAGCACAGTGTACTATACAAAGGAGATTGTTTGCGAGTGGTTATTTTCGCATATTATTCGTGGGAGATGGCGTAAAACATTGGCCTCGACGTATCATTCGATAAGATGTAGGACTGTGAAGGAACACGGGAGAAAGTAGGGGAAGTTAACAGTACGAAAGCTTACGTAACAAATTATGAATTTCTAGTACACGTTACATTTAGCTGTGGCTATGTGAACTTTCGAGACGCCTAGAGGCCCCAGGCGTCTGCAGTCGCTAGCGCCGTCCTAAGTCCCAAACTGAACCCGAGTTGGCAGCGGTGCCAACGCTCCAAATCCCTACACCGTTACGTTATTATTACATTTATTTTAGACCAAGACGGGTCATCTGGCTGGCACTCTGATCCCACTGACCTCAATTTTTTGACTCAGACAGACGTAACACTTTCTTCGGAACGTTCGACTTTGACTGGCCAAAGCGTATTGCACGAGACAAGCATAAATCACATTCAAAACCAGAAAATACATTGAAGATGAAGAAAGCAGTCTTCTGGGATTTGGCACCGTGTATATGTGGTGTTAACCGACGTTTCGGAGGGACGTATCGCCCCCATCTTCAGGGTAGANAAGATGTTTACGTAATGTAACCCTCTAGAGCACAGTGGTTACTCTATGTACAGGGCCGCGCCATAGCTCAAGCGGTTAGTCGCTGGCTTCCCACCGCGGCGGCCCGGGTTCGATCCCCCGGTCTGGTCAAGTGGAATTTGTGGTGGACAAAGTGGCGCTGGGGCAGGTTTTCTCCGAGTACTTCGGTTTCCCCTGCCAATCTTCATTCCACCAATTGCTCCACAATCACCCTTGCCTATCATCTGGGTCTGGTACAATAGGCCAGAAGTGGCCGCAGTGCAAGAGACTTAGTCCCATTCCACTAGCAATAAAAAAAGTCTCTCCGTTTTGCTCACAGAGTCTATTTATGCGCGGCTCTGAATAAAGAGTGACTGGTTCCCTGCAGAGCATTGAACGGTTCGACTTTGTGCTCACTCCGACGTGGGGACTGAATTCCAAACATCATTCTCCAAGCTGAATGTGTTGTATATATATGTGACGTCCTATATGACGTCCATCGCTGCGCAATGGCTAAAGTGGGAACGCATACTTCAGCGACAACGAATACATGGAAATGATTGAGGTCCCACAGCGACGAATTGAATACCAACAGACCGTTGCGTAGGAATATCCGTAACAACGGATGAAACCAAACACTTCTACAGGATGTTCTGAATCGAGTGAGGCTAGCATTTCCTAAGCAACGGAAGAAATTAACCCTTCGATAAGGTGTTCCTTATCGCCTCCGAACGCTGGATATATAGGAGAGTGTAGCTCCAGCGAGAGTTCAGATCACAGTATCACAAGAGATTCCGAGTGAAATCACTGAAGAGATTCTGAGTTTTGGACTCGACTCTAGTGAGACAGAAGAGTTCCAGAGTG